TTTTTTTTAATGGATTTATTTAACAATTTGTTGGCCATATTCTGTAAAGGTGCCAATATTTCTGCACTTAAACTTTTAAGCTAAAAATGGATGTTTTAGTTTATGCTAGTTAGCTAACTAATATTAGCATTAATGGCTAAAGGTTCATGACCCTTCCTAATAATACACACCTGTCAATCATAATAATGGGGAGGAGCTTCCAAAAATGAGGTGTAACTGGCAGCTCTGCCCCCTGCATTATATTATATATATGTGTGTGTGTGTGTGTGTGTGTGTGAGAGAGAGAGAGAGAGAGAGAGGGAGAGAGGGAGATATCTCTGACACACTACACCTGTGATATTAATTATGAATAAGGTGGAGCTGCAGGACTTCAGGTGTGCGTTCAGATGTGTGTAGCTGTGTCCTGTGTGTGTTCAGGTGAGTTCAGCTGAGCTCAGGTTTGTTTTCAGGTGTGTTACAGTTGGGTTTCAGGACTAGAGGTGTGTTCAGGTGTGTTACAGTAACAGCAGCATGTCCAGGAGAAGATGGGTCGAACTAAAGATCTGCCAGACCATCAGCTGCTCAGCTCCCACCAGACGCTCACACACACACACTCCACCGACTAACGCCGCTGCAGGTACGTGCATATTAATAACACACACACACACACACACACACACATTAGTGTCAAACTGAAGTCATGAAGCAGAACTAGAAAAGAAAGCGCTCTGATTGGTGTTAGTGATGTAGCTGTGACGGATTTATCGGGATAATCATTTGGTTTCTACTGCATTCTGACACCTTCAGTTTTTATTTATTAAAGAAAATAACTTACTGTAAAATGTAAATTACAAAAAAATAATCTTTTACATTTAATGTTGTGGAACATCAGTGAAACAAGTTAGTTCCTGTTGTCGCTTACGTTACAGCAGCTATAATCAGTCGTTCCCTCACCAGCCTCTTTATTCTCTCTATTATTTATTTCTTATTATATATCTCTCTTTATTTTTCTCTAATAATATTTTATAGTATCTAATAATATCTATATTATTAGATTATTAGTAAACTTTATTTTTCTCTAATAAGAGAAAAATAATCGCAGCTTGTTCCGCATGTTACTGAGAAACCGCAGAGAAGCGTAAACTCCTCTGTCCTGAAGACGTCGGAAAACTTACAGTTACAGCTTCACCTCTGACTGTTACAAAGCGCTGACACTGGAGACTCCTTCCATCACTGTTACATAAACATCTCCTTACAGAAAACTTCACCACATCAACGATTACATACGCTTTTAATCCGTTTATGTGGAGCGGCCGCTGTGAATGAGCTGTTACTATAGCAACGATAAGGTATTAGAGCGAGCGCATTAATATAAACCTGCGCTATTGTCAGAGCCGCTGTTATAGAAAACTAATCAACACCTGACGACCAATCAGAGCGCAGAACTCAGCAGCAGTGTGGTGTAATGAGTAATAATTATGAATATCTAATGATGTAAGACTATAATTGTGAAATGTACCAAATCTACGTCACTTATTGGTTGTATAAAAATATTTATGGAAAATAGACACAAATGTTTACACAATCAGTTTGTAAAGTATTGACACTTTCTAAATTATTTTTAAATGTAGAAAATTGTAAGGCTCTTGATTTGTAATATATATGAAAACAAATCGTCCAGTTAACCAATCTCTTACACGTATTTATTTTATTTTTATTTTAAACGTGTTGCTATGCTAATAGCTAGCATAACCGTCTCAACACTCCAGCTAGTGCAGGAGGGTCCTTCGTTCTGCGTGATGACATCACACGCCTGCGTGATGACGTCGTGTAAGTTTACGTGGAAAAACATGGCGGCGGCAGTGGCTGCACTGGTTGGCAGTTGTCAACGCGCAGCCTGACAATCCCGCATGGTTTTGGGACGTTTTTATCAGAATTGTTTAATGTCACCCTGCCACATTTAATCGTAAACGTCGGTGCTATTAATCGACGCTTTGTATGAAGTCATTTTGTCCCGTGTTTAGGTTCAGAAACCGCAGAAATGGAGGACGAGGAGCGGCGGAGGAAGCTGGAGGCCGGCAAAGCGAAGGTGAGAGCTCATACATGTTTACCAGCTGGGATTATAAACACTAACATGAGGTTTTAAGGAGTGGAGTTTGTTTTGCTGAATGTTCGAGGGCAGTGTTTGACCGCCGTGGGGCTAACCTCACACTGACAGCAGCTCTGGGCTTCTCTGCCTCAGATAGCTGGATCAGCTGCATACCTCAAATAACTTACATTTCAGATTTCACTGCTGTGAGCGGAGAACTCCACCATTTCCCCCCTGCAGTGTTTAACCTGAGCTCCTCTGAGTCATCACACCAGAGCCAGAACCAGAACCAGAACCAGAGCAGCCCGACCCCAGCTCTCTTCCCCTCAGCACTGTGCAGCTCTCACTGCCTGGAAAATCGATCTGATCTCCACTTTCTGCTTCAGAGAGCTCTTATGAGGAGCATTAGTGTGGGATTACATTACAGTCACTAAATCCGCAGGGTCCTGCTCCTCCCGGATCTGCTGTGTGCTCTAACAGAGACAGCTTTCTGTCACGGCTCTCCCCAATGATCCCACTGTGGATTAGAGAGGGCACCCTGTCCATGCTTTAATGAGAGATTGCATTTCTTAGACCAGGTCTCATTTTTTATGCACTTTATGTTTGCTGCATTCAGGAGACTGAGCAGGTTTGGTTAAGGGCTTTGCTCAGGGCCAGCAGCAGCAGCTTGGTGAAGCGGGGATTTGAACTCACAACCTTCTGATCAGAAATCCAACGTCTTAACCACTGAGCTATCCTCTGGACCGGATCTCTTTCCTTTAGCACAATGTTTGCCTATAGGTCCTTTACGCGGGTCTTTCATCTGACCCGGTTCTGCTTCTTGGCCCATGGTTTTTCTTCTGTGCCCTCGGTCTCTCCTGTCAGCTCGGCTGTGATTGTCCTCTTTGTCCTGGACCTTTAACCATGTTGTTTTTCCAGCTTTGGTCATTTCAGTGGTTTCTTAGGCATCGATTATTAAGTACAGTTTATTATCCTGTACACAAGTTAATGGAGATTTAAGAGTTTTAAAACACTTTGGGTTTTGGTTTCCGTTAAACCTTGGCTTTGTTTTTCGAGTCTTTGGTTTGTTACCTGGTGCTGTTGGGTCTCCTCGGCGCGGTCTCTTTAGCGCGGTCTCCTCAGCGCGGTCTCTTTAGTGTGGTCTCCTCGGCGCGGTCTCTTTAGCGCGGTCTCTTTAGCGCGGTCTCCTCAGCGCGGTCTCTTTAGCGTGGTCTCCTCGGCGCGGTCTCTTTAGCGCGGTCTCCTCGGCGCGGTCTCTTTAGCGTGGTCTCTTCGGCGCGGTCTCTTTAGCGTGGTCTCCTCAGCGTGGTCTGTGTGGTGGTTAGTAAGAGGTTAACGGCGGTCAGGGTGACTCGGTGAGAGCGGGTCAGCTGGCACTAACACACTGAGGACGGATCGAACCGCATGGCCTTGCTTTAAAACACTGAATTGTTTATTGTCTTAGGATTTACATTTATTCATGAAAGTTATAAATGTGTTCTCCTGTCTCTCTCTCACACTCCTCACACTAACCGCTCAAACTACACAGAGCTAAAAGCAGAAATTAGCCTGATTTCCCAGTGGCTTTGTCTCGGCTGCGGCACGTCGGCCCACTTATTCAGCTGATCACACGAGCCGAGCGAGGCGGATCATTAAAATAGAGCAGCCTTTCACTGATACGCGCTAAAAAATAAAACTCTCCAAAGACTGTAGGGAACTGAGTTCTGGATCAGTTCAGTTTAAGGCCCTGAAGGAAGGATTAATGAGGTGACACCTGCAGTATAGAGTCATTGCTAATTAGCGCACTACGTGTCCAGTAAGAGTGCATTTGCTGTTCAGCGCCCTGTTCCCTAGTTCAGTGCACTACGTAGGGTACGAAATAATAATAACGCTCCCCTACAGTTACATCCGATCGCAAAGTAGCCTTTATTTTTATTTCTTCATCTCGACGGTCTCCTGATTATAAAATACTGCCTGAAGTTAGAAAATACAATAGTTTAGAAAGCGTAGTTTGCTCATGATAACAGACCAGCTAGCAATCACAGGCTCTGACTTCAGCTCCGCCCTTGCTGGCTCGGGAACGATGATTTATGCTAACAGTTAGCTCGAGTTCACAGAGTGAATGCACAGTGTGTTGGTCAGTAAGGTCAAAGGTTAAACTCCTAAACACTAATTGGATTACTTCATCTGATTCAGTCCTTTTAGAGGCACAGCCTCAACGGGGCGAAGGACCAGGACAAATCCTGACACCTGAGACATCTACTGTAGAGTTATACATGTAAATAATACACACACACACACACAGAGTGTTTGTGTGTGTGTGTGTGTGTGTGTGTGTGTGTGTGTAAGATACTGACAGGATGGTGTGATGAAGTGGAGTGACTGTAACCAGCCCGGAGTTGATTATTTTCAGCATGACCTCAAGTTTTTTTTATTCCTTTTACACCACAGCAACTAACCAACAATTACAATTTATTCAAATTAAAGAATAAAATCATACTTTTTATCCGTTTATAGTTATATATAATATTCACCTATAAATGGTGATCAGCGTCCCTTCCACGAGCAGGTCGCCGCTGTTCTTCCAGCTGCTCCTGTTACGTGTTGCTTTGACGGGGGTTTTATGCCGGCTGCCCTTCCTGACGCAACCCTCTCTGTTTATGCAGCTTGGGCCCGGCGCTGGGCGTGCACGAGCCTGTGCGTCCCCCCGGCTGGGGTTGGCGCTGGGCGTGCACGAGCCTGTGCGTCCCCCCGGCTGGGGTTGGCGCTGGGCGTGCACGAGCCTGTGCGTCCCCCCGGCTGGGGTTGGCGCCCGGCGCTGGGCTCAAACCCACCAGCCTGAGATGGAGCAGCCTGTGCTCCAGCAGCTGAGCTTCTGTGAGCAGGCGAAGTGACATCATGGTGCTGGAAGACATTTCTATGATTATGATGCCAGAAAAACAGTGTATTAAAAAAACTTTAAAATGAGTTTGATGATACTTTTATTTAATTATTATTTAATTAAGGAGGAAATGAGGTTTATAACAATAGAAAATTCTAATATCAAGCCAGCTGCTTCCAAAGTTTGTAATTGTTATTAAACAAACAAGATGAAAAAAGATCGTGCAATATGCGCAGTACCTCAGAAGAGCGTATTGTGCCACGGTTTCACACAGTATCAGTATTATATCGCCGTATTGTCCGGCCCTAATGCCGGCCTCAGGTGTGCCACTCGGGGACAAAGCTGTGCCACTCGCAGGTATTCAAACGCCCCAGTTTTTTAAAACTCATGTCCCTCTCCAGCACTTATGATATTATGTACTAATTTAGTGATAGTTCATTAAATAAGTCAGACACACTGATAGTTTTAATTCACATTCATAATGAACTAAAATAAATCTCCATTTCCTGTGACAGAAAGCGAGAGCGCCCTATCAGGAGACTCCTGCACACCTGTCAATCATTCTGAATTCACGTGCTGATTGGCTCATCTGCTGTTCTTCCCTTTTTCGCCCCCGGGTTTGCGTACCTGTGCGTTAGGATAAGTACGTTACATCCAGTACTGTTTATATCTCTGATAATCCACCCGAGACACACACACACAGTTATCAAACTTATATTTATATTTCTCCCACGTGGGAACGTCATCTCTAACGCTTCAGACCACAAGTAACAATCCAAACACACTCATATACACACTCACACACACACACACACTCACACACCCACACACACACACTTACTCACACACACAACATTTCACACAGCAGATATAAATAGTGTATTCTTATGTATATTACATAATTGCTGTTAAAGATGGAAAACAACAGACTGACTCACGAACACATTTATTATAAGATTAGAGTAAGTAAAACACACTCATACCTCACTCTCACACACACACACACACACACACACACACACACAGATGACATACCACCTGTTAAAGGTTATGACCTCGGGGTCAGCTGTCGTATTGGTGGGGCTGGGAGCGCCCACGTGAATGTGGAAGTAATGACGTGTTGTTTACGTTGCTATGACAACTGTCTCTCTACAGAACTGGTGTGTGTGTGTGTGTGTGTGTGCACTCCACTGAATAATGTTCCATTGTTTATAGAAACACTTAATAAACGTCCTTAAGGTGGCGCTATAGTACAGAGTTCTACATATTGGCCCATAATATCAACTGAACTGAGAGTTCGAATCAAGTTTCTGTTTTCTTTTCTCTTGTTTCTTAACTTTATACCGAACAAATAAGCCTTCAGTTCAGTTCGATTCGATTCAATTTTATTTGTATAACACTTTTAACAATGGACATTGTCACAAAGCAGCTTTACAGAAATAAATGGATTCAAAAAATATATTGTAAATATGTGAATTTATCCCTTCAGCATCATACATTTCCATCAAGCCCACGAGATAGTCTGAGATAATCCCAGCTCCAGGATCAGCCACAAGCACACTCTATGGAGAGCAGCCGGTGTGGGCGGGGCAAGCAGCCGGTGTGGGCGGGGCAAGCAGTCGGTGGGCGGGGCAAGCAGTCGGTGGGCGGGGCAAGCAGCCGGTGTGGGCGGGGCAAGCAGCCGGTGTGGGCGGGGAAGAAACTGATTTACACCACAGTGCTGATGTTCTAGAGCGAGGAAGCTGATTTACACCATGGTATTTCTGATCAGAGCTCAGAGCCTTTGCCCCATCTGTGATACCATATTGCTGTAGAGGATGTTTTTCACATCATGCCCATGTGTCGTTTTAATCCTGTGCGTGCGTGTGCGTGCGTGTGTGTGCGTGTGCGTGTGCGTGTGCGTGCGTGTGCGTGCGTGCGTGCGTGGAGGTGCGTGTGCGTGCGTGTTAGCGAGATTAATGAGGCATTTCACTGCCTGCATGGACGACCTGCGTCTGAACTTGGCCAGGCTCTGCCACACCACCGTGGGGTTTGGATCCCTAAAGACTGTATTTTAACCATGTTATAGCGGAATATTATACGTTTACAGGTTACAGAGGGTTTGTTCTTTCCGTGATGATGTAATCTGTTATTCGGGAATTTTTATTTATAAAACATTATGATTCTGATTTCTCAGCTCAGAACAAGTTTCTATTTCGTCCTTCTAATTTGTGTTCACGGGTTTGAAGTCGGTGGATTTTGTTGATGCTGGTTTGAGGAATTTGGGAACTGGTTTGGAGAGTTTTGGGCAATTTTTTTCCGACACCAGTATTTGTTTGATATTTACATACTTGTTTGTCATTGTCAATATTCTTTCTTTCTTTCTTTCTTTCTGGCATGTTGAAGACTGAAGGCTTACTTGGACCCCAGTGATCTCTCCTGATGGCTGTATTTATTATTCTGTTTGTGTTGCAGCTGGCAGAGTACAGACAGAGGAAGGCTCAGAGTGATGGACAGAAGAAGAAGAAGAAGAAAAAGAATAAAGGATCAGAACAGCAAGAAGGAGAACAGGAAGTGAGTGGAGAGAGAAAGGAAGTACCAGCTACAGAGCTTTCCTTTTCCAGAACTCTTCTTAGTGGAGAAACTGTTAAACATGACCAAACGTACACAATAGAGGTGAGCAGAGCACACGTGCACACACACACACACACATACGCGAACACACACACACATGCGTGTGTACACACACACACACACATGCACACATATACGCGTACACACACATACATGCACGTGCTCACACACATACGCACACACACATACACGCACACACATACACGCATGCCCACAGTGTGTGTGTACACAATGGAATGGTGGCTTTATGGAGTTTTGGGATGACAAG